TCTTCACAACTGAGTACATGGTAAATGATACTCAAGCTTTTGTGCATATACATGTTTGTGTGGATATAATTATTATAGAAGGTGATATATGTGTTTTATGTTTTAGTTTTGTTGAAGTTAGATTTTGGAATACAGTTTGATTACTTGAAGAAACTATAGGATATTATATGGATTAATGTCATGAAAAAATTCTTTCGTGTTGGTTGGTTGGTTCGTTGAGTGGCATACCGACCGCTATATATATATATATATATATATATATATATATATATGATGGACTCTCCCGTCGTTTTCGACGGATGAGTGTCTTTCAGTTCAGTTTTTATGTTTATGCTCTGTATGAAACAACAGTCCTACACGGGATTTACCTACAAATGCAAAAGAAGGGCATGCTGAAGGATTCACCGGTATATGGGCTGATGTATTAGCCAGAGATTTAGTGTTAATTCTTAATTCTCTCAGATGGATGAGACAATTCTTTTGAAAGTTAGTTATACCTCATATATATATATATATATATATATATATATATATATAAATGAGAGAAAGAACAGATGAAGTAAAATTCCGTTGTTCGTAGCATTTACTTTTTTTTTTAAAAGTGCTCAATACAAAGTAGAGCAATATATTCTTATTATTTGAGATATTAGAACAAAAACATGTTGAAGTTGCTACACAATATTTTTCGCATATATATATATATATATATATATATATATATATATATATATATATATATATATATATATTATAATTAATTATTATGTAAAAAAAATAAATACAATTTTACTAACTAAAGAAAAGACTTGGACACTTAAATATTGATAACAACAACATGTCTAGAAAACCGGAAGTCAAATGGTAACAATTGAAAGAAAAGAGAAAAACGAGAGAAATGGTTAAAGAGTGAGTGTAAAGAGAAGAAAAAATGACGAGTATAAACAGTCAATTGCTGATGCCACAAGACGAATCTCCGTCTACAAAACTCTGGAGCCGGGATACGGAAGATAAGATCAATCTGCTAAGTAGCAAACCTTTTTCGGGTATTATATATATATATATATATATATGCATGTATCTCACATCAAATTTCTCTTTCTCTCTCATTCATTATCCCAGTTTTGTGTGTGTGTGTGTGTGTGTGTGTGTGTGTGTGTGTGTGTGTGTGTGTGTGTGTGTGCGTGCGTGCGCGTGCGCGTGCGCGTGTGTGTGTGTGTGTGTGTGTGTGTGTGTGGATAGATAGATAGATAGATAGATAGATCAAAACTTGACGATCAGTGACTCGTGGCAAAAGTGACATCTAGTGCCTTGTAACAACTGCACACGTCAAAATCAAACGTATATACGCAAACAAGCCTGGCTCGTGTACTTAATGTTGATGGGTTGAATACAACTGTTACGTTGAAGAAGAAAGACTTGAGTGGCTTTGATAAAAGCCAAATTGTTATGGCTTCAGTCAGAGAATTTCCAAAGCAGCGAGGCATATCGGGTTCATGTTCAGTTGTGTCAAGTACCTATTCACAGTGGACTAAACAGAGGGGAAATCACTAAGCAAGAGATTTAAGGGCCCAGACGTCTAAACGCGAAAAGTGAACGGGGGCTTCCCTGCCAAACACAAACCAACGAAACTGTTACATTAATATGAATGACAGGTTGCTTTAATCAAGGTCAAAGGATGAATGCGTCACAACACACAGTATATTGATTCTCGTGGTGCATGTGGCTAAATAAGATGCCCTATAGACGGAAGCTGGGATACCACTACTGTATCCCCTTGCAGATGAGTAAGACTCCGAAAAAACAGTTACCTTCTGGATGGGTGCAGAAAAACTCAAGTATAAGCTCGAATTACGGTTGTTAGAAAAGTGTGAGCCCAAAATGCAAATTACTATTTGATTCCACAATCAGACAAGTACAAAAATGTAAATATCTAGGAAGTCTTTTAATAGAGGACGGAAAGTGTGGCAGCCAAAGATGCGTTCCAAAAGCTAAGCAGAATATTAATAAACAGAAAAAATTTATAAAAAAAAACAAAGAAAAAGGTGCTGAACTGTTACGTGATATCTGTCCTGCTATATGGCAGTGAATGCTGAACAATCTCCTCATAGATGAAGAGACTCGAAGCAACAGAAATGTGATTCTCTAGATGGATGTTGAGCATACCATGGACCGAATATGTGAGCAATGACGAGGTTTTAGAGAAAATAGAAAAAAGGGAGACTTATACTTAACATCAGGAAGAGAGAGTTGAAATTTCTGAGGTACATAATGAGGAAAGAGGATTAGAAAATTTGATACTCACAGGGCAGATTGAAGACAAGAAGGACAGAGGAAAACAACGCATAACCTACTTGGTGGGCTTGAGTAAATGGATGGCAGTACAATGATTAGGAGAAATAACAGAAAGACAATTTACCATGATCTACGAAGCACAGGAAATTGTGGATAGCCATGATTTCCTACGCCCTGAAGGGACACTGCATATAAAGAAGAATATTTGCCTATCAATACGTGTATAAACCGGACCAACATTTACCAATAAACTCAAGTAAAAATCCAATCAATGTATAACTCGAGCAATATTTATCTGTTGACTTATATACAAAAACCCAACCAATATTTACTTATATTTTTATGCAAAAACTCGATTAATTTGTGCCTATTGATTCAAGTATAAACGCATAATTGTTTACCAATATATTACATAATAATAATAATAATAATAATAATAATAATAATAATAATAAATGAATGAATGAATGAATTTCGACATTAACATATCCCGACAAGATTTAAATATCGTAAAATTACTCAACCCAATGACGCATTAATTACTTGATATATCGAGAAAGTCGAGTTCCAATTCCGGTTGAGTTTATTATATTCATTTACGCAGAAATACTTTTGGAGGATGTATGAATTCACCTCTTCTCTCCTCAGCTATAAGTTAATTGGTAAAACTTGTATCACTAAATCATTATTATCTCCCAAAAAATTTCACAATCTAAAAATATTTTCTGGCTTTAAATAACCTGCAACAGGTTGATAACCTGTAGAAAACGAATCAATCAACCTTTCACACGTATCTCCTAGCTTTCTCGTGTTTTCGCAGTAAAAATATGGCAAATTTCATTCGCGTTAAAGACGACAGAAGAAAAATAGTTCTAAAGGATTATACTTTAAAATAGTCCACCACTTTAGTTGACTTTTTTTCTTTTTTGTGGTGGACAAGACTCAAACCATAAAGGAATCGAAACCTTAAAATTTCAACAGTTTATTTGAGGATGCAATTGGTAATGAGAATGTAATGAACTATTTATTGGAGAATAAAAGAAACGTTTCCTGGGAGTGGGGGAATTTGTGCTCAGTGCAGCGAACCCCGTACAATTGAAGGCAAGGATCTGTAAAAAAAAAAAATAGAAAATACCGGTTTGGGGCCCTATTCTTAAATATACGCTTCTAAATTTATAATTATATTTAACGAGCTAAAATTTGACGAGATTCTTAATTTAGAATTATAAGAGAAAAAAACTTTCGTAATTGATTCCCGTCAATCAACACCGACATGAATATAACTTTTCTTTCCTTTTTTCGTTTCTCATCCGTTCTTTCTTTGTTTTTAATTCTTTTCTTTTTTTTAATCTTATCTTTTTTTTTTCTTCTTCTCTTTACTCAGATTCTTTTTTAAATTTGCTTTTGACCATTTTGCCATTTCACCTTATCCGATTTCTCCTCAGTTTTATATATCCACTCTATGTAATTTGCTTAAATATTCATAATCATACACTGGTCAGATTGATCAAAGACTGGTCGACAGTAGAGCATCAAAGGCAAGAAGAAAAAGATCAACTATGAAGTAAAAATGATGCCTCAATCAAGAGACAAAAACTGAGAAGTCAAACACCACCATTTAAATAAAAAAAAAAAAGAAAATGCAAAATCTACGTATGGTATGTTCGGCTTGTGCTAAAAAATGTCCTAAATAATAAAAGGGAATGTCAATAAGGTTTAAGATGAAGACAATAATAAAAATGACCTTTGCTGACGACTATGAACAAACAGGCCGACAGAAGCATTTCAATGGACAAAAGTGCCAAAAATAGTGAGAAAATACAAAAGAAAAGTGGCTTATTTTGTTGTAAATTGAAAACAAGCAGAATTAACGAGAAGGACACGGGAAATTTTTGGAATAATGCAGGATCAGCATAATTTTGCTGTCTGACCCCGATTCTCTGTGTGTGTGTGTGATAATAAATATATGTGTGTACGTACGTATATATAATTCAATGATATGCGTGAAAGAAAGAAAGAAGAAAGAAAGAAAGAAAGGGTGAAAGTAGCGAAAGGGAAATGGAGGAATAAGGGATGGGTGAAAGGTAAATGAAAAGTGAAAGACGGAAGAAAGAGAGTAGAAGTGGACATTTAAAGGAGGAGGAGGAAGAGGGAGAAGAGGAAGAGGAGGGGGAGAGGAGGACAAATAAGTGGATGGAAGAATCAAGAAAACAGATGAGAAGAAAAGATGAAGGAATTTGGAAGAAAAAGATATGCAAGTTAAAAAAGGGGGGAGTAGAAGAAAAGGAGCAAAAGAAGCAAGGATAATAAAAAGAGGAAGAAGAAAGAAAAGAAAGAAGAAAATAAGAAAGTGAAAGAGGATGAAAAACAAAAAAGAAGAAATTAGGGGAATAAAGAACGGTATTGAGAAATAAAAGAAAGAAGGTAGATTGATTTGTTTTTTACGGTTTATCAACCTTTGGCAGGTCATTTAAAGTCGGAAAATGTTTTTAGATTGTAAGAATTCTTTGGCGATAATAATGATTTAATGATGATGATAATGATTTAATGATACAAGTCTTACTAGTTAATCCATAGCTGGTGGGGAGAAGAGGTGGATTTATACTTTTCTAAAAGGTATTTGCGTGTAAGTAAATATAACAAACACGACTGGAATTGGAACTCGGTTCTTCGATTTTCAATTCTATTATGTAACCCGCACATCCAGGCATACAGCACTTGGTATTCGCAAGCGGTTACCCACCTCGGTACTGACCAGGCCCGGCTTCGGTGATCGTACGAGAACCGATGTTTCAACGTGATATGGCCGTATGCCGGAAGAAGGCAAAAGAGGTAGAGAAGAAAAGAAAGTAGTGGCATAGGAAGAAGTTGGCATGAAATGAAGAAATGGGAGAAAACGAAAAAAAAAAAAAAAAAGAATGTAGGAAAGTTAAGATTTTTTTAAAAAAGCAAAATGAAGTCAACAAAAAACACACAAAAAAGTGAAAATAAAAATCACGTTCGCAAAAACTTAAAATGAAAAGAAATAAACTGAGAAAAAAAAAATGAATGAAATATAAAAGGATTCAATTTATTGACTCCCCCCCGTGTAAGTTTTCTGCAAAGTGTAAACGTTCGATTTGACATTTTCGTTACTCTTAAACGTCGCCACGATCTCAGCGACCTTTCTTCAGCATTTCTACTTTACGAACTTTCTAAGTTCAAAAAGTACCCATAAACCATCATCAAGATTTTCAACTGGTCTGGAAGTCTCTCTGTTTGAAGACAAATGCAAAGTCGAAAATAAAATCTGCTACAAAATTATAAAAATACACACTTTCACCATCAAACATATATATATATATATATATATATATATATATATATATATATATATATATATATATATATATATATATATATATATATAAGTTCCATTAAATACGACTGACAAGGTACCACGAATAACCTTTGTATTTAATTTTTTTTTTTTGTGTGTGTTCATATAAGTTTTTCTTTTCTGGACATAAAAAATGTGTAAAAATTGTCCAAATATTTTGTATATCCGAGCGGTTTTGGCTATTCTTTTAGACATTTTCAAGGAAGATATTTATTTTTGTTTTTAACTCAGTGTATGGATTTTTAGTGTATATACATATATAGATTTATAGGAATGTATTTTTATTTTCAAAACAAGGTCAGCACATTGTAGCCATCTTCATATTTGATGTTATTGACTGTTGGCTTTTTCTTTTCTTTTTTATAACAACTGAATAACAAGTATGAAAACGATTCGCACTGGGTGCTCCATATCTGTCACATTATGACACATCTAAACTACGCCGAATAAATCACTGTAGATTCGTAAAAGCCCGATGACTGATGAGCGTTCATTAAATCGATAATTCAAACCTCGTTTTATCAAGATGATCTGTCGTGGCCAAGTTGGTTCCGGTATGTTTCAGCTATAGGAGTGGTTTGCCTGAAACAAAAGGATACAACTTAGACTCCTGTCGGAAGCACGATATATATATATATATATATATATATATATATATATATATATATATGTATGTGTGTGTGTGTGTGTGTGTGTGTGTGTGTGTGTGTGTGTATAAACCAAATAATTAGATATTAGCAAACTTGAAATTGAACTTCGAATGTAGGTATATCTATATTTATTATATATATATATATATATATATATATATATATATATATATATATATATATATATACTATATATATACTGGCCTATTAAGTTTATGGGCGAACTTATAACGAACATGTCATTCAAAGGTAAAACGTTAAAACTTAAGGCGTATATTATGAAGAATACGGGTAATTTGTTCGACACTGATTGGTTAGAACAGTTTCAACTTTGGGATGTGCCTATTAACTCATTATGTCAAAAAGTTGAAAATGTGACTGACATAACAGAAAAGTTGAAAGGTGAACTTAAAAAAAAATTCCCCGGTGTTTTCAGTGGAGGATTAAGAAAATACACAAAAATGTCTGCTAAGTTTGAGTTAAAGCCAGACGTAAACCCAGTTTTTAAGAAAACACGTAACGTTCCATTTGCCACGTTAAATCAAATTGACGAAGAATTGAATCGATTTGAGGAAATGAAAGTTCTGGCAAAGGTTGAATATAGTAAATGGGCATCTTCCACAGTTTATATTTTAAAAAAAGCAAAGAAATTGGTGTATGTGCTGACTTCTCTATGGAGCTGAACAGCACCCTAAAGGATCATCATTATCCCCTTCCAATTCAGAGGAGATATTCGCTAAGCTCAGTGGAGGAAAATATTTTTCTAAGATCGACTTAATCGATGCATATCTACAAATACCTGTGGATGAGGAATGCTCGAAGTTCCTTTGCATAAACACCCACAAGGTTTTATACAAATTTTTAAGACTTCCGTTCGGGGTTAAGGTCGACCCTTCCATTTTTTAACAGGTCCGGGACATGATGTTAAATGGTCTGGATTTTGCGGTGGCCTATCTCGATGACGTCCTAATGAAAAGCGAGAGCATCGAGGAACACAAATTGCACGTTTGGCACGTTTAGATCTTGCCAATTATTACAACGTTTTTGTATCAAGAATGCAGAGTTTGAGAGCTCCACGTAATGAATTATTGAGAAAAGATAAAGAGTGGGGAATGGACAACCAAATGCCAAGAAGTATTTGAGAAAATAAGAGGTCCTTATATTAGATCTGTTCCTGACTCATTACGATCCAAACCTTGACATCATTGTAGCCAACAATGCTAGCTCCTACGGCATCGGAGCGTGCATTTTACACACGTTAAAATACGGATCGGTAAAGCCAATCGCCCATGCATCTAGGAAGCTATTACCAGCTGAAATAGGTTACTCGCAAATAGAAAAGGAAGCCTTAAGAATCATTTTTGCAGTGACTAAATTCCATAGATTTATTCATGGAAGGTACTTTTTGTTGCAGACTGGCCATAGTCCACTCCTTACTAGCTTTAGATCAAAAAAGGGTCTGCCATCACATACTGCTAAATTAGACTGCAAAGATAGGGAAGCATTCTCCTCAATTATAACTACAAAATGGAGTTTCTCCCATCCACTAAAATCTGCTATGCAGACAGGTTGTCTAGATTGATACCTAAGTATGCTGAACCCCTGGAAGACACAGTCATTGCTGCCATAAGAACAGAAGTCGAAATAAAAAGTACCTTGTGCAATACTGTCAGGGATCTTCCTATAACAATTGACGAGATAATAGACAAAGCGTCCGATGATGAGTTCGTAAAGGAAAGGAATACTAAACTAAATAGTAAAGACCAGAATATCTCAGAAGTTTACTCACTCTGTAACGACATATTAATGTACGGAGACAGAGTAGTAATCCCATCTACACTACAGAAAAGAACTTTAAAGGAATTTCATGTTGGCCATCCTGGAACTTCAAGAATGAAGAGTCTGATGAGGAGTTACGTTTACTGGACCAACATGCGCAAGGATATTGAAAACACTGGAAGATCGTGCAAAGGGTGTGCTTTGGCTGCTAAAGCACCGCCGAAAAAATTCAATCCCTGGCCTAAAACGGACTGTCCGTGGTCGCGGATACACATGGATTTTGCTGGCCCACTTGATGGTTTTTACTACCTTGTAGTAGTTGACAGTTATTCTAAGTGGCCAGAAACGTTGAAATGTAAGAAGCCGTCCGCGGAGGTGACAGTAAAGTTTTTGCACGAACTATTTTCCCGTTTCGGAGTTGTTGACTGTATCGTAACAGACAATGGCACACAGTTCACATCCTGTGAATTTAATGATTTTTGTCAGTCATTCCTGATCGAACATATTACTACGGCGCCATATCACACAAGAAGTAATGAACAGGCAGAGCGTTTTGTCGACACTTTCATGAGAGCACTGAGGAAGGCGAGAGTTACTCCCACCGATACGGCTATACAGCAGTTTTTACAGGTCTATCGTGTAACTCCTAATATCAGTGTTCCATCTGCCAAGACGCCAGTGTAGGTCATGTTTGCCAGGAAAATAAAATCGGCATTTGACAAATTCCTTCCGAGTGAAACGAAAGCGGGAAATAGGAATAAAATGATTAAAAAGCGCTTTAAGATCGGTGAAAAGGCTTTTTTCGTGTATTTGGGAATAATAAATCTCACTGGGAGATAGGAACAATAGACAGACAAATTGGTAACATGATTTACATGGTTCAGGAACCGAAGTTTATACACAAACGTCATGTAAACCAAAATAGAAAACGATATGAAAGTGTAGTCGACAGGAGTCCCATAGAAGATAACATTATGGACGTCGTCTTTGACACGTTTGAGGTTCCAATACCGCAATCAGTGCCAGGGCTCAGAAGGCCCAAAAGAAAAAGCAAATTTACGGAACCTTTAGAAATTAACCCCAAAGGGATATTGAACATCTTTCATTTCATACTATGTCTACAGAAAATGGAAAAGAATGAGTAAAAAAAAAAACATCTCCTCATTTATGAACTTTGAATTACCAGAAAAGCACAATACACATTGGATTATAGAAAATTATTGTCATTTAAAAAAACATTGTAAACGTAATTCGTGTATATAGCTTTTTCAAAGTGGTTGTTTCTGATTTCTTTTACTTATTTTTTTTTTTTTTTGTGGAAAAGGATTGAATAAAAAGTATTATGTGGTAATTATATAAAAAAAAAAGACTCCATACGGAGTCAGGCTGAAAAGGAGGGTGTTGTGATGTCCTCCTTCTAAAGAGTCTATGTCAGACTCTTCCGCCTACTATAAGATTAGTAGGACAGTCGAATAGATTGTTCTACCGAGACTGTGACTTTTCGCAGCTGCTGTCTAACTCTCTGTCTGGCAGGGAGGGACCCGGTCGAGGCTTTGCCAAGGGGCAAAGTTTCGTCCGGAGAGGTAGACAGGCCCCGAACTTGTCTAAATGTTTATGCTATTATCAAGAGGAAAGATCAAAGTATTTTGGGGGATTTTTTTACATTTTTTAATCCTTCCTAGCAATTTCGATAATGTCAACCATTTTTTTCCAAAACAAAACGAAAATCTCCGTTTCAAATTTTTATAAAAATCAGTATAATTTTTTCAAAATTTATTTTAAGAAAATTAGAAATTATAAAGTTTATTTAAAATATTTGGAAACAAACATTACTTTCTGCGCCGAAAAAATGTAGTTTAAAAATAAGACAAAGCAGATGTTAACATTCAGTGTCACTTGATGAGTGATTATTTCATCACGTATTGACAGCTTATGTAAAGGAAAGTTACCGTACGGAAGGACAGAAGTGACATAATTATTTAGTTTTAAGTGAACCAACTTATT